AGTAATTGTGGGAAGTTGTTTTTGTCAAGTTTGTTACTGAAAATCCATCCAGGGTGATTTCACACAGCCTTTAGATACAGTTCAGCTTTTGCTGAAGTCTAAAGCATAGAAAAAAAGCTGTGACCCACTCTACTTTTAAGTTCGGACTTCAAACTTTCCTTTTTGATAAAAGCTTATGGTTCGGACTGAATACGGTGACCCTGACCCTGGGGAACATCCCATGATACGTTCCCATTTCACTTCATCTCTTCTCTCCTCGAGCATCAGTGTTGCTGGCGTTACGATCTGCAGGGTGAGCTTCGGGGGAAGCAGATAAGAGCACACTGAAGTCAGCCAGTGTGTTTACGAGGAGGTGCATCGAGCTGTTGTAGAGTATAAACAGCACATGTGGGATCCCTAAAACAAGGGGCTCTCGGTCAGACTAAAGACAAGCATCACTTTGCTTAATACCGTATACCTTCTGCGTGCTTTGAAAAGGAGAGACAGGACAATAAATCTACTTTCACAGGAATTTGCAAGACTAACAATTTAGTTTCTGCTGGTAGGAACAAAGAATCGCCTTTTCTAAGAAAAGAGCCTTGCTCTTTCACAATATAGATCTAGATAGATATCCACATACACAAACCTTGTATTCAGGCAGAGAGCAGAGGAATGTGCAGAACATGAAAGACTGGCTTCATATGGAAATCACAGCTGGGATAAAAGCGTGCAGACATGGCCTCAATTATTCTTCAGGGAAAGGACACGACTCAAACTGCGGCTTTATTTCAAAGAGCTTTTCAAAGATTTGGTGCGTTATAACCAACTTTTTAAAGTTTGAACAGATGAAACTTTAACGTGTTTGAATGCAGTTGAAGTGCCTTCATGCTGTGGTTAATTTGCCTTTTGCTAGCACAGCTGGAGGTGTTAAAGCTGAAAATGAGTTTCTTAGCAGTCGTGTTAAATGCTCAGTGTCAGGCAGTCCCATGATGCATTGTTTCTCCACCAACCTTTAACACCCAGTATGTGTTTATACACCTCTCCGCATTTTAATCCTTTATTATTAACCTCTGGCTCTGTAATTGTTCTGGGAGACTTTAATCATTTTAATATCCAGACAAATATGGCTAAACTGCATCAGTCTGTAACCTTCCCCACCAGGGGAAATAAAATACTCGATCACTGTTACACCAACATCAGAAATGGCTTCTCAGCTGAAACAAAAACCTCGCTTCGGAAAGTCTGACCACCCCCACCCTCTCCAATCCAGACTCAGCGACCTCCACCACCTCTCACCCCCCTTTCCTCCTCCCTGAAACATTAAACTGAAAATCAGGGAGAGGAGGGAGGCCTTCAAGGCAGGAGATCAGGCGGAGTATAAGAGAGCTTGCTACTAACTGCAGAAGTCCATCAGAGCAGCAAAGAGGCCCACTCAAAAAAGCTTTGAAGGCTGCTACCTCAACAACAACATGCACAGGATTTGGCAGGGAATTGAAGCTGTCACAAACTACAGGGGAACCACCACAGAGCCCCGAGACACCCCCCTTCTATGCCAGGTTTGACAGACTGAACACAGACTCGTCCTCAAAGGCCCCATGTGACCCCACACACATCCTGAAACTCTGACGTGTGTGTGCAACGCTGAGGGACCTGATGGAGTTCCTCCCACACTACTGAAGGCCTGTGGGGAACAACTAGCTGCTGTGTACACTGACATCTTCAGCCTGTCACTATCCCAGTCAGTAGTCCTTTGTATTTTTAAATCCTCCATATTTATACCACTTCCCCCAAAAAATAGACACTTCCGCCCTGAATGACTTCCCACCAGTCGCTATGAAGTGTCTAGAAAAAAATGGTTCTCACACACATCAATCACATGGTCCCAGACATTATACACCC